TGGAATAAAGGGGGACCGGATAAGAGGGTGGCAATCGAGCCGATGAATATGCAGAAAATTTCGTTGCTTTGTCCCGGCAGTCGAAAAAGAGAACTTGAAAAAAGCTGAGCGAAAACGGTTCGTGGCGATCAGCTCGGCACGTGCTGCTCGCTGGACAAGAGGCAAATTACGTCGCGCACCGCCGCGGACCGATTCTTCTCTCCGTTTGCAAACATACTTGTGTTGCAGCGAACACGGAACAAGGCAAATCTCCGAACGGGAACAGCGGCGCGGACAACGAAAATATTAGCCGACAGTGCGGCCACATTCTTCAACAGATTACCTGTTTCGCTTGTACTCGGTAGTCCGTGCCCGCGCACGGTTTTCGGCCTTCGAATAATGAATTCACTGCCACTTTAGCATCGATTGTGTTCCACTGTTATGCTAATTCAAACCGGCTCGCGCCTGTCGGCCACTGATTAACGAACCAAACTTCTATTCTTAGTTACCTCAGATTCTATTTTATCGCCTCTGTCTTTCGTTCAAGTAACTTCGATATTAATTAGTCAGATTGTGTTTCAACCTCTCGACACTCCTTCATCGTGCAGCTTCACCTGCGCTTTGTTAGCCATTTAATATCGAACACTTTCGTCGCGATCTTCACCGTCAACGGTGCTCTACTTCAATTTACTATTCAGTTTTCGTCACGAATCCCGAGGCGAAGCGTTTCGCGACACGTACGCGTGGAGAGGATCAAGAGCGATACGGATCCACGGTCCCGGTTTCATCACAATAGGAAACGACTGTCGAGTGATACTTCCGACAAGGCAATCCACTGAAATAGATGAAGATACTTCTCGCGGCGCACGCACGTGCACGAACTTCGCTTTCCCCCCTACTTTACAATCAAGTGGTCTCGGTATGAAAAAGCGAAATCACTTGAACTTGCGAACTTTCTGCAACAAGTCTACCTCGATTTTTTATGCATCCACTTTTACAGTTAGACAAAACAATTCCCGACCCGCTTGGTACGTGCAGAAATTATATTAGTATAAATATCTTTGTTGAAGCACGTAGTTGAACATTTGGGTGATGGTTTTTTTCTTTATTCAAAAATGTTTTTATGACTTGGTACCGGTAAGGGTTTTATGACTCTTTATTCTTGTCAGAGTTGGTCACCGTTTGGGGTCCAAATGTCTTGCGGATCGTGACCATGATTTAGGAACAGATGTCGTCTTTTATGCACCGTAAAGTGTCGGTTTCTACTCCACCCAAAATGTACCTAAATGTACTCGAACCAGAAGTGTACCCCTAATAAAATTAAAAAATCTTGCTACCTTGCAGTTAACCTCAGAGAATTTCTTAGAACTTTCCATTTATTAATCGACATGAAGAAAAATTCCTACTGTACAGATTTCCATGAAACACGACTTAAAACTAAAAATATGAATTCATTTTTTAGAAAATTATAAAATCGCTATTCTTAAAAATATCTTGTCTAGTTTCTATAAAGAAAGTTGCCACTGCATAATGCGAATTTAAATTTTATATTTAAGTGGGAAATCGTTTAGGGTAGCTGTAGTATACGTCGTCAGTAAAATTATACATAAATCATAATAAATCGTATAAAAATCATCACGTATAATAAACAACATAAAATCATTATAATTGAAAGAATTCTCGTTTTCATTAAAACCGGTCTGTGAAAATTATTTATATTCAATTCGAAGTAAAATTTTATTCAAATCGTTTACGCAACGGTGATACGATACGATACGATACGCAGCATAAAGTCTAACAGTGTTTGATAAATTTTCTCGTTTTCCTAGCAAGGCCATTCATCACGTTTCTCTAGCATCCACTTCCTGGAGGCTCGAAGTTAACGATTTCCTCATAGAATTCGGTGGCTCAAAGTGGCGTGATCAGGCGAACGCATTACGCGTTTTGTCCGACGATTTCATTCACTCTCTTTCGCGCTCATTCACCGCGTCGCGCTCTTTCATCGGAGGTCGACGTCGAATGAATGGAGACGCGTGATCCAGTTGATTTATTCGCTTCTTCGGGCATTACAAAATGCATTACCGGATTGTTTCGCTCGTCTAAGGTGTTGCCTGCGAGAGATTTATACCGCGCGCCGAGACCATCTTGAAAGGGGCGTATTTCCGTGATATCGCGATAGAAAAAAAGACTAGGTGAACGGCCGATATTAGAAGTTGATTATATCGATGGTTTATGGGGCGTTTTCGCTTGTCGTCGCGCGCGTGTAAAATTAATCTGCTTTAATATATTCCGTCGCGGGGCCAGTCAGATATCGGAGGATTTATAGTGTTGTCAATGGGAAAGTAGCAGAAACTCTGTGTACGTACGTATGTACGTTTGCGTTTGTTTTTGTTGCTACGTGGAACGCGGAGATACTGAAAGCGCGCCAAAGATATTGACTCTGTTTGTTCGCCGGATTCCTTTTACCATTGCTTTGACCGTCCGATTTATGGAATCGATCCGGTCCGGAGACGTTAGATACCAAGAATTTACGACGTCTAGGTGTTCCTCGTCTTGGATATAATTTACGAAACACAAAGGCTCGGTTCGCTTTAGTTTCGTCGTTAGATCTCCGCTGGAGTCCTCCGTGTCACGGACGCTTTGAAATTTTATTTCCGTCGGGAGCGATCATCGATTCCGCCGTAGAGAAGTGTTTGCAACTGGTCCACGTTAACATGTGTCCCTGTCGTCGAGAAAACTTGAACGGGCCAACCGGGACGCGTCGCGGACCACGTGTTCTTCGTGAACTTCCCGGAATAAAAGGAGTAATGTAAACTCTGTTGAGAAATTACGTTCCTCTTGTTGATACTTCGTTTTTCCGTACCGAATGGAATTCAATTTTCCTGTTGAGAAAATATTTTCAAACCCGAAATATCTTCGGGTCCCTTTCACGAGTTAACGCGTGACGGCCGCTTTCCGTGAAAATTAACAGATTCGCATAGTTCAAAGATAACTTCGTTTGGTTTACAGATTTGGCAAAGCCTTTCGATATCTCTTTGTATAAGAACAGTCTTCTTTGAAATTGTCCATATTGTATACCGAAGGGAAAGGAAGACGATTATGCAAACGCCGACGAATTCGTCGGTAACTCGGCTTAAAGAACCGTAGGTATCAATAACTCACTAGATATTTTCACGGCATTAGTCAAGTTAGGAGAAATAGCCCTTAGAACCTGATTCATCATACCCTCTCCCGTATCGCATTCCAAAGGAAAACAAGCCTGAATCCAGAAGTCTCTCTTTAAACTTTCCCACAATCTCTATCAGCTACTCGAGAATGTACGTACGTTTTACAAAAATTATCCCCTGCGTAAATACAATTATTGATAATCGGAATTCCGGTGCGTGCCGATTTCCGTCGAAACCGGAACAATACTGGGGAACGATTAAACACGCCACCGGGCACCAGCCACGGAAACGATTTTATCACGCGACGTAAGTGGGAGTGCGTTAAATTGCGTTCAGCCCAGAAATTATATGACCGAGTGGACAGCTAACGAATGTGCAGGCCATTCACACTGGAAATGTACTTGCGTATGAAAAGTGTTCGTGTAAGGTGCGTATCCACTTGTATCATATTCTATCACCGTCGTCTATCAATGTTGCATATCACAGTTACGTATTAACATTGCGTATCATAGACGCGTCTCATAATTGCGTATCATCGTTGCATACCTGCCGCGCACAAGGCGCATAATTCTTGTGACTTGTTATAAAACATACAACGTGAGTCGATAGGAATTATTATTTAAAATATAGTAAATTTGCCAATTTATATTTACTGGCTTTCTTTTCTTAGAATTTTATATACGCAATCTTAAGCCTTAAGGAAGATTTACTATAACATAACTTACTAATTTCAGAAACTCATACAAATTAATTGCGATTTGCTAATACATGAATTCAATAAGCTTTATTAATTACTCTTCATTAGTGAAATTATTTCAAGTAGTTCTATTCTTTTATTTTAAGTATAATTTTATTGAAACAACGTTCAAGATTTATTATACGTTGAGATTTGATGTATACAATTTTAATCTTTTCTAGTTTAATTTCATTCATTCTAAATCCTCAATCTTGAATTAAACATCTTAAACTTCGAACTAAAATTTCAAATCCTGATGAATATAATGACAGAATGATATAAGGTGGGATATGTAGAATAATTCGTAGAACTCGATTGCAATGCAAATGAATTCTTACTAAAATCCGAACTATATAAAATCCTAGCTAACAGCTTGCTACTTTGCACTTTATCTCAGAGTCTTTGAGTTTCGCTGAAACTTGGTCGAAGATAAATGTTCATGTCTCAAGTTCCACTGCACATTTCGCTCTACTGCTACTCATATGCAACAGTGACACGATACGAGTACACAATCCTGTAGATGTAATCGGTTTGGCAAGTGCTGATCAATAGAAGCAAGTACGGTTTCCTGTCGCTTAACAGTACTTTCTATATGTGTAATATCATCTAACAGTACTTTCGATTAAAATTGAATACCTTGCCAATGAAACGTATCGCTACGATAGTACAGTTTTTTTAAACATTTTACTGCAGAAATAAAATGGAATCAAATGTTGCAAGGTAATTAGAAGTTTTGTTGGGGATTGTTCCAAGTGCTAGGGTATTGCACACATTGTCGTCGGCGGTATCGCGGAGCCAGTGGTTGCTACGTCTGACGATAACGCGGTATCTTAATTATGCCTCGAGTGTGTAATTATTTATACTTACTGCGCTTAAACGAGATTGCGTATCGAAAGGTCGCGCGGCGTTATGTGTCTCTGATTGATAGCGGATCGAGGATAGGCAGATTACATGTGTACCTAAGATCGTTTGATAAATAAAGTGTCCGCTACTGGACGTTAAAAGCGTGATAGCGTAATAATACCCTTGACGGTTTTCATTAGAATAGCAGGTGTACACTTTTAACATCCGACGCGTAAAGACTGTAATTGCGATGTTCCAATCAATGTGAGACTTACGATCGAAACTGTTCCCGGTGATGCCGAGCACGTGGTTCTCACGCCGGGATACACAGCGAGCACGTGCTACTCTCCTTTTGGTCCTCTCAGTCCGTCGACGTACACCCTCTTCCACCGAACTTCGAATCGACACGATCTTTTTCTCAAAATTCTTACATTTTGTGTCACTTCACAAACTTGTCCGATCCACTCGAAGATCTCTGAACGCGCCACGAACAAGGAAGGTCAGTGCGCGATATCTACGTCCACTGGACGCGACACACGTTCCTAAGCAAATTCTAAGTCGGCGAAAATAAATTTGTGTATCAACTGTGACACAATTTAACCGAGGATCATGGGCCGTCCGATAGGGAGAAGCCAGTCGGGCACGATGATTTACGAGCGCGAGCAGACGGTCAATGACAGTGCATGCGCGCGGGCCCCGGTGGACGGCGAATCGTCTTAATTAGGCGCGATTAAGCGAGACACGCGCTTTCCTCTCCTATCGTCGTCGCACCGACCGTCGGCCGTCTCCTCTTCCGCGCGAGCCGATGGATGGACCGAGCGCGGCAGAAACGATGTAAGCCCCGTTACGCTGCGACTTACCCGCTTGCTGACCATCGTAGCACTGAGCTCTCTTTCGAAGCGCGTAGGGCTTCGAGCCGCGACAGCCTTCCCATTCCCGCCACCCGCTTGCTTTCGTTCACCATCTCGCTCGCGCTTCCACGCGAGACGAATCCGCTTCTCTTCACTCTTACACCTCTCGCCGGTATCACTGCTCCACGTGTGTACGCACGTGGTAGCACACACGCGAAACGCACACTCGGAGTGGTCCCTCCGTTGATCCTTCGGGATCTGGACTCGCGAGCTCTTCCGGGAGGGCAAGGGCGCTTTGTGAAGGAATCATCCCGAATTTAGTAGTCTGTTTTTGATTCCAAGCAAAGGAGTGGCCCCGGAATAAAGATAGAAGGATTAGGTGGTAGACGTAGGCTAAGAATTATTTATTATTAGTTTCGTTATTTATTCCGTCCGCGAGATTTTAAGCCATGAAAGAAAACAGATTCACAGAAGTGCGAAACCTCTTAGCAGGGTGTAAATAATTTGGGAAACAGAGAGTCAAGTAGCTTCTCTGGTATCCTCGAGGGGTTCTGCAGAATCCGTCACCCAAATCCTATTTTCGTAACGAATATTAATTATTTATTATTGGTTTCATTACTTGTTTCGTCTGAAAGAAAATAGCACTGCCTTCAAACGTTAAAACGAAGTGCGAAACCTCTTAGTAAGTTTTTGTGAATAATTTGAGAAGCAGAGAGTCAAGTAGGTTCTCTGGTATCCTCAAGGGATCCTGCATAATCCGTCGCCGAAATCTTTTCTCCGTAATAGATATCAAAGTCTCTTTTAGAACAGACGTCGATCTTCTAATCTAAATCGAATGCGCGCAACCTCTTTTCTCGTAAAGGCCAAGTTCATAGATTTAGGTTTGAATACGAGGAGCATAGAGTCTCGGTGAAATAGACCCTCGGTGCAGGTTGCGTGAAAGATGCAAAGTTCGGAGCACGGGCGTAATTTCCCGCGGCGCAGAGGCTATCGTCACACAAGAACTCGCTTTTTCGCAGAAAGTTCGCTGCAGAGTCCCGGAATCATCCCTTTCGGAAACTTTCGTCGTCAGTTTCGCAGTGAATCGATAGAGGAGCGTAGCAAGTCGAACCGAACCATCCGACCCCGATTCACCCGCTCGCAGGCATCCTCCACCGAATATATACGTTTCATTAGAGCGGCTACCCGCCCATTCCTTTTTTTCCGCGAACTTTCAATCGCTTCGAGGATAATTAAGTGTTCGGACCATCGAAATTATCGGGTTCCGTAAGTTTCGCGTTAATTGGAAACGCGTTAGTAGCTTCAAGAATTAATAACTCTAATTTTTCACAATCGCATTATTTACCGTTGCCAATATTAGTAAAAAAAATAATCTTTCAATTACATACGCGCAATACTTCCCGTAAATATACTGTTTTATGATCAACAGTGTTCTTTACACGAATCATTCATAGTTTCTGTTTACTTGATTTATTCTGCGCCCCACAAAGAACCGTAAACGCTCTCCTCGTTCCTTTCGTTCTCCACTCGAAAGCTCGTAATTACCATTGCGACTGCATCAAAGAGTTTCCATGGTAAACAGTCCGATTTTCAGAGGGTCTCCCGACGCAATTCATTACAGGAAGGAAGCATCATGTGCTTGCTTCCTCGTATCACCGTTGCATACCATCGTTTGATATGATTTTTTATATAATGTATTATACGTGATTTATGTATATTGTGATACGATACAAGCGGATACGCGGGTTTATTAATTGCCCAGGCCGGACGCGCAGCGCGGAAGACGAACAGTTTCGTTTTTGCGAATGCGCTCGACGATTTATCCTCCGTGTTTTACGATCCTTGCGCGAGAATAATCGTGTTTATTATCCTTTCCCGGCAAAGGTCAGCCGTGGATCGTTTTTACTCATTCATAGAGCTCGCGGGGTCGGCGGCTGGTCGTTTTTCCATCGGCTCGAATCAGGGAACGCGTTGAAGTGAGGTCCCGGGGTTGAACGAGGCGCGACGCGAACGCATGAATCATCCGCGTTCGGAAATATGCGATCCGAAATGGAAAGAAAGGATTCCCGTCTCGTCTAGACGAGGGATTCCTCTTCTCACCGAATTTTTTCCCCGGGAACTTTGATCCGTCTGGCATCCCGACGGTTTCCTCCTCCCGGCGGGATTAAAAGTATATTTATCCATGAAACCGCGCGCCACTCTCGAATCGTGTCGATTACCGGCTATTTTTCCACGGCAAATACGCGTTCGAAAAAATCGGATATTAAACCTGACGCGATGAAAGATAAAAAAAATTGTTCTGCAAACCCTGGCCGCGCAGACGCGCCGTTCACAATGGGGCGACGCGACGCATCGTGACGGGACAAATCTAAATGCAAATCGATAAATACTCGCATAATTTCGAAAGGCAGGCGCGCGACGTTATGGATGCACAAACGAGCAAGTTCCTTTCTTCGCGATGTCGCGACACCTCCAATCGAAATTCAAAAAGGAGAATGAAACTGAAAGAGAATCAAGGGGTGGAGTCGGTGGACAAATCTTTGGGACCAGTATTGGAGCAACAAAAATATAGGCATAAATGTTTGCCAAATAGTTCGAGGATGAGCGAAGTTTAAAATCTGCTAAGGGAAAACGCGATGACTTTATTGAATAAGTATTGACTGAAAACGGTACGGGATATCAGACGGGATAAAAGGAGAATTGCCAAGAGAACGGGAAACAAACATCCGTCGTAGGAACGGAAAAAATCGGAATCCGTTTTTACGGCATCGTGACGAGACGTCGGTCGGAAATCGCTTGTCGTGTTTCGTCGCAAGCGAGATGCGTTTAAACGTGTGCAGCAGCAGCAGCGCAGCGCGCATAAGTAAAAGCGCACCAGGTGCGCATACTTATCAGGCCGGCCGCGGCTCGCCATTACTCATCGTTCAGTCGACGAGCGTACGTCGAGTTAGCGTCGTTAATGGAATTTCGTTTCAAACGTTTCAACCTTCGCGCTTCGTGTCAGATCGATCGTGAGACGACCGATGCGACGGATAAAAGTTCACGCGGATTCATGATGTTTTACCATTATTTCTGATTATTGATCAGCGCGTGAAATATTGATTTTCCAGTAACGCTAAACGAAGTCTGAACGAGCTCTTTACAAAATTCATTCCCAACTCGGTCTTGTGTATTC